CCAGCAGAAGACCCATGCCCACCTACCCTACCCATCCCCACGTTAATACTCCCAGCGCACCCCCTGTCCCTACTATCCTACCTCAGTGTGACCAGCACTCAGGACCATCATCCTACCAGTATCGAGGGCAACTTGGACCAGACAGCAGTGACAAGCACCAAGGCTGAGCCAACCTCCCAGCCCTGATGGAAGCGGAAGCGGACGAACCTTGTCGTACGGGAACTTCGGACGCCACGTAATCGGCCGTTTTTTAAACTGACCGATTACGTAATCGGTCAGTTTCAAGAACGACAGATTACGTAAAAAAAAAAAAAATAAAAAAAAAAATCTTTTTTTCTTTGAAGCCAAGGGTGTTGTAGAGGCCAAGGACCAGACCCGCAATGATTGCTAGTAGCGGCAAGCAATGGCTGTCATGACAGGATAGGCCACCTAACCTACCCATCCCCACGTTAATACTCCCAGCGCACCCCCTGACCCTACTATCTTACCTCAGTGTGACCAGCACTCAGGACCATCACCCTACCAGTATCGAGGGCAACTAGGACCAGACAACAGTGACAAGCACCAAGGCTGGGCCAACCTCCCAGCCCTGATGGAAGCGGAAACGGACGAACCTTGCCGTACGAGAACTTCGGATGCCAGGCTCATGCAATCTTCTACAGGCCCAATTCAGAGAGTCTACCCAACAAGATTACCTAAGCAAGGCAGGCCAGCGCCCGCGGACACAGCCTACCGTCCTTCCCCTAGCTTACCCAAGGTTAGGCGGAGCTCAGACTATTCGGAGCGACTTATATCCCTACCCCTACCCTAGAGCTAAGCCATGCGTGAGTACACCCCGTCATATACCTGATAGACCCCCCCAGCCCCGTATCGTAATTTGTGTGTATGTGTGTATGCCCAGGGGCTATGTATGTTTGTATGAGCCCATAGGGCCATGTGTTTTGTATCTGTCCGAGGGCTATGTGTGCTCTGTGTACCTGTAAAGATGTATGTGCCCGAAGGCCAGATATGTGCTGTCTATGTGTGCTGTGTGTAACTGTATGGCGAGATGTATGTGCCTGACGGCCAGATATGTGTAGTGCTTTGTAGAGGGAACTATGTGTTCGTTTTGAAGAGATGACAGGCCAAGCTGGACTCGAACCCGTGATCTATGACTTGTGACCTGAAGACTCTACCATTTGAGCAACAATCGCAAATGGCCCCTGTGTGTGATATGCCAGTGGGAGATCAACAGAACAACCATGAGCAACAGCCACAAGCAAACCACGCAGTATCATGGACAACCCTTGGGTGGTGCGCAGGCAGTCTCTGTATAAGCTTACCGTGCGTCAGCCCAAGGGAATGTGTCTAGCCGTGCATCATTCTAACGCTCTGCAATTGAGTTTTGAACACGCAACCTCATACCACAATGCGCATTTCCAATTGGTGCTCTAACCACTGAGCTACATCAATCGGTCAGTTTCACTTCAATGTGTCGCAGTGGATGGAGGGTTACGATCCGGAGCAGTGCCCATGCAGAACGCGGAGGTACTCGGACATGCGCAACAGCTGGTCGATCAAACTGCTCCACAACGAGGGCTGCACGCACGTCATCACTCTTGACTCGTCAATCACGGATAGCTGCTGCAGAACATCATCAATGCAGGCCTCAATCATATCCTGTGCATGGCTCTGAATGTGGATGAAGTAATTGTCGAACTAGGGAACTTTTTGGACGAGCTTTTTGCACGGGTGATGGAGCTACGCGACCTCACGGATTCCACCAAGTCGTTTCTTCGAAGGATCATCTTGAAGAAAGACAAGGAGAAGACAGAGAAGTACCAGGTGACGCACAGGCATGTTGCTGCGGAACCATTCGAGCATCCGGCTGTCAAGAGAGATCTGACGTTCCTGACTAGTAGATTCCTCATTTGTCCAACAGTCAAGGGTCCCAACACGCCCGCCTTCATCTGCAAGAACTTTATACGGAAGTTGGCCTTCCAAAGGTTGTCTGGCCCTGAGGTTGCCAGCATTTCCGCACCGCCTGCAGCCGTCATATCGCACATTCGGGGCGAGCTCTCTGCCTTGCCAGTAGTGCCCAACACTCCCTGCTGCTACAAACTCGCTCCCCGATCTCATGGCGGTACTCAAGGCACACAAGGGCACTGTGACTTTCCGGTGGATCACGAACACGACAAACACTTTCATCTCCACTGTGGCGGAAGTCTGCACCTGCCTATTGCGTTTCCTTCTCCCGCAGGTGCAAGCCTTCGGTTAGGACAGGAGTCTGGAAGTGGAGGAGCAGCATGGTGTCAAGCCCAACCTCTGGTGGGCCATTTCATCGGTAGGGGAGTTCTATGCGAATCTGCAAAAGAAGGTCTACTCCGTCTTCACAACCGACATCACCAGGTGTTTCGAAACAATCCCGACGGACAACTCGGAGGACAGTCTCACTGCCTCGGTCAGATTCTACGTGCAGTGCGCTATGCAGGTGAGGAGGGAGAGGAGCTCTAGCCACGCGATCAGGATTACGTTTGGAGGAGGCGGCGATCTACGGCCATCATGAGCAGACGCTGAGCAGCCGGAGGAGATGGGCACATTGTTATTCACGGAAGGGGATATATGCTGGCTCTCGGAATGGTGCATAGCCAACAACGTGCTGTGCATGGGAGAATACGTATGGAGGCAGGTAAGGGGCATCCCCATGGGACTGGCGTGCTCCCCGATCTGGTGCGACATTTATTTTTTTTAATATGAGTATCGGACGATGATGAGATTGGTGGATACGGCGAATACCCATCTGATCCCATGTTTTGGGAGCACCTTCAGGTACGTAGA